ATGATCTTTTACTTCTCTTCATCAAGGGGTTTTTCCTGTTCGAATCTGATTTTTATTAATTTTGTTGGTATCCATAGCTTTTCTTCTCCTGAAGAAACAAAGGCAAAACCCCTTCTCCAATGTATAACATATCCAGGTTTCCATTCTGAGGTCAGCACATCCTTGAAATAAACTGGTTGGTTTAGCTCAGGAGTTTTGTCTGTCGTCCAATGTCTCTCCGCAGCTGTTGTTCCTTTCTCATTAGCATTGAGAAAATTGAATGGCTACCCACTACAGACAAAAACCAAACACAACAACAAGATAGAATAAGACAGGGCAAAAACCCTCAGACCAGATTGGAAAAGGTAACATAATAGGAGGAAAAGAGTCCCAAGAGAAGGCAAAAGTGTCAGAGACACACCCACTCCCACTGTTAGGAGTCCCACAAAAACACCAAGCCAAGTGACATAAAATTTACTCAGAGGTCCTAGGGCAGACCCTTGCAGGCCCTGTGCGTGTTCATTTTGTCTCTGTGAGTCCATATGAGCCCTGCTTTGCTGATTCAGTGGTCCATGTTTTCCTGGTATCCTCCATGCCTGCTAATTCCTACAATCATTCCTTCTCCCCTTTCCACAGGGTTCCCCATTTTCCTAGGGGAGGGACCAGATGGAGACCTTCAATTTAGATTCTCTCTCTGCATGTTTGTCTGTGGGTTTCTGAACCAGCTCCCAACTAATGCTTGAGGAAGTCTCTCTGACAACAACTGAGCAAAGCACCAATCTATGAGTATAGCAGAATGTCATTAGGAATCATTTTGTTGATTTAAAAAAAAAGTCATGTCTCATTCTACCCTAGGTCTCTGGACTATCCAGTAACTGGTCCCTGGCTATCCAGGCCATATAGGACATGGGCTTCCTCTCATGATGTGGACGTCAAGTTAAACCAGACATTGGTTGACCACTCCCACAAATTCTGTGTCATCATTGACCCAGCACATCTTGTAGGCAGGACAGATTGTAGGTTGAGGGTTTTGTGACAGGGTTGGAGTCCAAGCTTCTCGTTCTCTAGCCCAAAGAGTATTTTCCTGCACATAGGGGTGAAGGCTCAATGCGGGCACCAGCTTAACCTCTCTATATTCAGTGAGCTACATGGATGTTGTCCTCAGCAAGGGGGCCCTCCTGTCAGTTTTCAGAGAGTTACCATCTGTCCTGCCATCAGCCTGGAATCTATGAAGGTGACCCTAATGAGGAGTCCCAGTAATAAAAAATATGGATTCTGAACTGGCCATCTTTTTTAGACAGGCAAGACGTCCAGTGGTGGGACTAGGTTGTATTTGGTTGAGCTTTTGGCTGAGGCAGTCCCTTGGAGATCCATAAACAATCAAGCTGATGTTATTTTAATTTTTATTGGGAAAATACATGGCTTATTTTAAGACAGAGAAATTCCATTATGTACATAATGTTATAGTAGAAAAAAACTGATTAGGAGGTTTCAAGCATTAAACCCTTTTTATAATTATTTAATTATAAATGCATCATTTTAATTAACATAAAAATATAACTTTCCATACAAAGGAACATGTAATTAAAAATAGTTTATTATCTAATGGAAACTACTCACTTAGATAGGATAGTTTAGGCAGTTTTACTTAGGATAAAGTATTATAGAATGAAGATTTTATGTGAACAAGAAAAAGAAATTAACTTTAGTGCTCGTCTCATTGGTTTGCAAAATTGCAAGGACATTTTAGGCCTGATTACCATGTTCTAATTAGTCTCTAGAGGACTTTCATGGACAAACAAGTGCTCATTAATTTGTCTTCTTCCTGTAACATTGATTTGTTCATTACCCTTTCAGAGTCTCAAATATAGAAACCAAAAATTGATGTGTGCTTTTAATGTGCTTACAGATGTTGCTACCACTTACCCAGATAAGAAGTCCATCTTAATGTACATCACATCACTCTTTCAAGTTTTGCCTCAACAAGTGAGCATCGAAGCCATCCAGGAAGTGGAAATGTTGCCCAGGCCATCAAAAGTGACTAGAGAAGAACATTTTCAATTACATCACCAGATGCATTATTCTCAACAGGTAAAACAGGACCACTAATATGAGAGATGTTTCCAATTTTATGTCCATCTTTAGGTATCACTTTTACACACATGTTTATAATGTATGTATTTGTATTTTTGTAACAGTATATATGCATATATATGCATAGCATTTCATATGTACACAAACACTATATATATGCATAGCATTTCATATATACATAAACACAAATACATGTTAAGTCTCATGTAACACATGTGGCATTATTTTCAAAAAGCATTGCTAAATGCACTTTATTTATAATAAGTATTATATTTAATCATTTTACAATGCATAATATATGGTGTTTCTATTGTACAATGTGAAATAAAATTAAAGAAAATTTCATATACTCATTAAACTTAGGTTTGCCATCAACCATGGTAAAGTGCAAAAAGTCAGAAGAAGAATAAGGGCAAATATTTTATTCAAAAATGCTTTTAAAACATTTGGTGGTAACTTTGTGAATAAACAATTTTTGATTATTGAATTTTTAAAAAATACTTTAAAACCTATTTACTACCAATTAAATCAACAATATGTGTGTATATGATAAAACTACTTATTGCATCATTATAAGTACAAAGAGATTCTATTAATTCATTTTTTAACATTCTCAACAGTGGGTATCCTGGGTGTTTATTTTCTTAAACAAAATCAATGAGGAAAAAAACCTTTAGACAAATTTTGCTAAAAGAATGGAAAGTTCTTGGTTCTAATTTTTTTCATTCTACTGAGCTAGTTCTATTTTTATGCTCATGACATCTTTAGCCCACACCAAGTTATTGACCTGATGAATTCTGGCTTTATTTACTTTGGTTCAGGGGAAATTGCTTTTGGGTACCCATTTTTGCAAGAGTGCAGAGTGTCATGCTATATAACTCCTGGAGTTATGTCCCTATGGAACCTGAATGTTAAATCCTGCCCTCATTAACTTCTCAGTTTTTCTGCTCTCCAGAAAGACCCAAACTGTGAATTCCTTTCTTAGAGTGTATTAGATTTTACTATAATTATGTGTTTATGGTTAAATACTTGATCTCACCCTTTCCATTCAATATTCTGTTTTCTAGCGGCTTGAGAAGCAGTCCTTCCCAGGTACTTACCACATTTTCCCTCTTCTTTCTCCCTCTCTTCCCCAACTTCTTTGCAGATCACAGTCAGTCTAGCACAGGGCTATGAGCAAACTTCTTCATCTCCTAAACCTCGATTCAAGAGCTATGCCTACACACAGGCTGCTTATGTTGCCACCTCTGATTCCACACGGAGCCCCTTTCCTTCACAGGTCTGTTCACATTTACTCTCTCTTTTACACACCAGAGAAATTCTTCGTAAATGATCTAACCTTACTTTGGCTTGTATGAGGTCTTCAGTGCTTTTTTCCTTTCCACAGATACGTTCTATTGTTCCTGCTGTTATTAGATTTCCTCACATCATCTGCTGTATTGAGATCTACCTAAGTTTGATAAATTCTGATTCTTCACTAAGAGGCAGTTCTCATAATAGTAACTTTATATGCCTGATATAATTGCAGTTATAAGAGTTTCTTTACACAATCTGACAGTGTTAATAAAGAATGAGAATCTCATTCAAAACTTATGTATACAATTCTAAAAACTCTGGACATATAAATAAAAAGTACTAATTGAATTAATTGTACTGTTCGGGGAGATTTTTTTGGATGCTTAGATAGCTTATGTGTAAATGATGTAGAAATTTTCATTATATACTCATTCCATAAAAATATATTCTACTTAAGAAATATATAACCCCAAGCTACTTTAAATGATCTTATGTAAGTATAAAACAAATTTTGTAGTATTTGTAAGAAAAAGTGCCATGCAGACAACTCAGATTTAGTGCCATTTTCTACCTTTACAATATTAAAGGAAAGCTAAAAATATAAGAAAAATATGACCTGTATTATATGTGAGGGTATGAAAATGAAGTATACAAGAATTAATAAATTTTCCAGGATTGCCTTTGAGAAGAAATCTTTATTTCACTCAGAACAGTTTGAAAAGGTCTTAAGGAAGGGACTTTGATCAAACCTATGCTATGAATGATAGATTAGCATTATGAATCTGATCCTATTGGTATATTTAAAAGTGCACATTTTAGGAGACTAAGTGATTTTTTTTCAAGACAGCGATATACATTTAATTATTGATCCATGTTTTAGCTGATTGATGGATGAGGCTAAATATTCTATACCCTGAAAGAGTCTCCTTAAAGGAAACATCTGTTTGGGGGCATAAATATGCCCTCTGTCCTAGGCTAGTTTCTTCCAATGCTGAGGAAAGATGACTAAATAAGAAAATAGGTTTCAGAGTCTTCTTTAATCTGGTTTTCTTTCCATGTTTTACAAAGACTAATTCTATAATTTCAAACAAGGGTCTTCAACAGTTTCCTCCTTATCAGTAAATAATAATTCTATCCCACTTGTACTGCAGGCTTATGTCAATCTCTTTGGCATGAGAAGTGCTATTTTTATTGCCATTTAAAGTTTAAATTTATCCTCCCTTCTCTCACACATCCAACCCCTTAACACTGCTTTAATTTAACTCTCTCCCATGGAAACCACCAAGATTTCAGGGATAGAGCCTACATTCTGAAACAAAAGAACATAAGCCAAGACAAAGATAGGAGACTTTTCTCCCTCATTATCACTTTCCTGAGCTACATTTCCTAGGTTTCTCTAATGCCTTTTCTGGTAGCACATTTTTACCTCATTATCACTTCATTAAGGCCTTGCTCAGATATGTTCTTTAATGAAATAATTGCAAATGATCTTACAAATTTTAGGCTCATTTTGTTCACTTTACCTTTGTCTAAATATTACTAAATAGATAATATGTCATAAAATACTCAGAACATTTATTTTCAGTAATGCAACCTGCTATTATAAACCTAATGTTTATCTTTTATAAAAGAATCAGAACGGAATTTTTTGAAAGATAAGTTGGAAGATACCAGAAATAATATATTGTGACTATTTCTAAAGGAAACACATCAGAAGATGATTTCCCACAGTTAGCTTTGAGGACCTTATGTTTTCACACTATCAAAATGTTCACTGAAGTCTCTGGAGGACTGAGCCTACACTGTCCTCTACAGGTGATACCTGTCATACTTACAGTGGAATCAAACCAGTTGGATTAAATTGCACCAGGTTTTATGCAAGCATTTGGAGATATGTGGGAAAACACCAATTTTCTTTTTATTTATAAGAGAGTTCTGAGTAGGTAGCTTTCCCATGTAGAAAACATAAATATGATCAATTATATTTACTGGTTTCAATATCTTAGAAACCTCAATTATCTACATTTGCCTCAAACTTGAAATTTTTGCTTAACTTACTCAGTTGAAGCATTGTCAACAAGCTCCAAATACCAAATACCAAACACCAAAATATGAGTGATTTAGCCTTTTCATTGTATCATTTAGCTGTCATAAATGAAGGATAATTGATTTATAGCTGTATTCAATCCTTATTCTTGTGACCTTGCTCATCAAATATACTTGATTCTTAATCTTGAATTTTAAAGATCCAGAATAATCTTTTAATCATTGGATTCTCTCTCCTGGAGCCTTATCCTATCTAAAATTTCTACAAGCAGACATAGCATATACCTGACTTCTCTCCTCAAAACCCTGTGAGGCTTTTCATGTTAATAGATGTTATTTTACATACTGCCTTCTGTGGACTTTGCTTTATTCATTCATTAAAGAAATATTTTTAGTGACTGGAACAAATGTCATTAATTCCAACAGATTCTACCATCAGTGAGACTTTTTAGAACCTTTACACTAAGGAAGTTCATGTCTCTGTTCTATATGTTGTTGTTTTTTTTTTCAACATCTACCTGTTTCTCTTCCAACCTCATTAGCATAGAAAACTGGAGGAAGGTCTCCTATTTTTATCTGTCTATCCATTATTTTATCAATGTGATTTAATCATGTATTCAATCTAAATGTAAATGACCACTGTATCTATGTTCTCACTATTCTCAGTCTCTAGTTACAAACACACTTCTAGCTCATTTTCAACAATTTTGTATGTGCTTATATACCTTCAGATGTCCTCAAGGAAACTTTGTTTCATTGCTCATAGTCTTTTCTTGTCCTTGTTATTGTAATGGCGATATGACTCAGCAGTGATTGTGGCTTTAGGAGACATACTCTTTCTTCTCTGTATCGATCCTGTAGTTCAATAATGAGACAAACTTAGTCAGCCCTTTACCTCATTTTTCCATTAAATTATGCCCAGTCAACTTTCTTTCTGCCTCTCTGGGTAAAGCTTTCTTTTTGATTTCCCCATCAGGTCATTTTCTGCTTTCTCTACTGTACATGACCATTGGCCTTCCAGAGGCATTGTGAGGATACTTTTGTGTGAGAATACTACAGGAAAAACTCAAATATGCCCCTGTTTTGGAGGGTTACAAAGACCATGTTTATGTTTGTATATTATATACAGCTTAAGATATATTCATTTAATAAACGCTTTTAACCCTTACTATTGTACTCAGTCTTCTATGCCTCATAAAGCCTAGGAGTCAGGCTTTGAAGAGTTATTTGTACTTTGTTTGGATTCTTAAAATTATGTATGTTGAAAAGGGACTCAGAACAACAAAAGAAGCATTTATCTTATTTAATTCACATTTAAACTTTTTCAAAGACTTTCAAATATATATATCTCCTCTAATACAAGTATGAATTGATTTGGTCAGAAATGATTTTTATCAGAAGTTAAAGAACATTTAAATAGGATAGATTATTTGTTGAAGCAGCTGGTGACATACAGAGGTGAGATTCAAGCCCAATGCCATGACTTCTATGTCAGCTGTGATGTTTCTAATCTGAAAATTCCTGAACCTGACAGCAAAAAGGTTTATTATTTTCTTATCACCACTGCATCTGTGCTTTAGTCTTTTAACATAAGTTTCCACTGAAAAGTATCGAGAAAGAAGGAAATCCTCATCTTTGCTTCTTATCTTTGTCTGATGAATAGTGGCTGTCAACCTTAGAGAGTATACCTATTACTAATAGAATACACAAATATTTATGTATTTGTAATATAAGAAACAATTGGACATTTCAAGTGGTAAAAAAGTACATAGAAATATTGTGGAGAAGCATTTCAAACATAATAAAAAAAGATCTGTATTGCAAGTGTAATAATTACAACCACCAGTAGAATGATATACTTACTGATCTCTTCAAAATAGTTAAACTTGAAAATAAGCATAACAAAAGTTTCTCTTAAATTTTTTAGATGGCATATATTCATAGAGTATAGGGTTAGGCTGAGATGTGTTTACTAGACAGTTAAAAATAATGGTTATATGTTCATAAAGCAAAAAACTACAAAGGAAGCACCCATCATAAAATGATGTGCATGTCCTCATTATTAGTTTCCTTACAGGCAAAGTTCATTTTTCTCAGGGCTTCATGTATACCTCATAATTTGCTCTAAGGTTTCATTTGCTTACTAAGTAGGAGTAAACACATGGACACGTGTGCCTGCATGCGCGCGCGCGCACACACACACACACACACACACACACACACACACACACACACACACACAAAACCTCATATCCATCAAATTAAAATGGAACTTATTCTTTCTTATATAACTCTGGTTGTATCTTTTCATCGTTTCTGCCATGCTTCATTTGCTGTCTATTAGCTCTTATTTTAAGACTTTTGATAATCTTTCTCACAGACCTCAGCAACATAACATTCTTTTTCTTTAAAACATTCTTCATTAAACTCAGATTCTGTGTTCACACTCAGATCTCCCTGTGTGTTGATTCTTCATGAAAGGATTCAGTCAATTTTGCATCAGAAACCTAGTAAAATATGTATCTGTACTAAACAGATGTATCTGAAATGATCAGTAAACTTTCATTACCCAAATGATATCACAACTATTTATAAAACATTTATAACAGTGAATATTAATAAATATAAATATTATTTGAGCTGTATAAGAATATATATATATATATGAATACTATGACATTTTCTATAAGGTATTTGACCTTCTATGATTTTATTTTTGTGGTACATAATGTAATGAAGCCCTGGGTCATTGAAGGATGACTGTAGCCTTTTAATTTATGCTATTCAAACATTCTACTTCCTTTCCCTTCTCCTTGCCTCTTGTTCTTTCTATATTTCACATATTTATCTACAGCTGCACTGGGATTCTCTCTGTGATTATGACTCATCTCACACGACATGGCAAGTTTTAGGATTTGAATGTTACATTGAAGGAAG